TTGTAAAACACTTTTTACGTTCGTTTGATTTTTGTACACACATTGATTTTTGTCGATGATGTATGTCATGTTTTGAAAAAGAATATATAATTTATATTCTAGCATTTACAGATTGATGTATTTTTGATTCACGCTCTTAATTCAACATTACAATTTATGTCACACATTTTGCATTTTTACAACTGTTTAATTTTTTTTCACTTTGTTTTGCTTCTTGAGCACATTTATATTTCACTTTCACACTGTACAGATTTCTCTTTTCTGCATGAGTTTCAAGCACATTGTTCAGATAAGTGCCTTCCCTGACTAAAAACCTACATGTAATGCAGTAGCAATGCTGTGGGATCAATGACCTTTTTTTAAATCTTTACACGTAACAAAGTGACTTTTTTTCTGACTACCCAACTTCAGCGTACAACAGTGCCACGTTTGTTGGCAGTGGGATTCAGACAACCACAATTCTCATCTTGTTGCAACGTTCAGTTCGACGGAGATAATGGTAAAAGACGCCGGACAGGTGAATTAATGATTGATCAAGCTTATCACCAAACATGTGCATTATGTAAACTTTACGTTTTGATTTTATATTACCCACTCTTTACGTTTTAGTTTTGTTTTTTCCGTATTCGACAGAACTCCGTACCATCGATATTTGTTTGGCTGCTGTTTAAAAAAAATGTGTTATGAAATTTAAAAATTCTTTGTTCACTATTTGACATTTGCACGATTTACCGATTAATTTCCATTTTCACATTGTACCCAGTGTCCGATTTGCATTACATAAATAAGTTCAGTAAAACCAGTGTTAGGTGTAACAGTCCAGTTTCAGCAGGAGGTATACATAAAACTTAAATCATAACACAAATATAAGGAATTTTAGAAACATTTCACCAACAAAACATTTGATTTTAGCACTAAGTGTTACGGTTTGTCCGTGCACAATTTCATTTTGTGCAATTTCATATTAATTTTTTTTTACACTTTAACAAATTTCAGCCGTAAGTTTTTCGCTACTGATTTTACATTATAATTTTTTTCTTTCCCTTTGTTCTATTGTGCGTGCATAGAGAAGACTTAATTTTCAAAAACTGCAGTTTTTGTTTGGTTTTGTCCCTGCTTTTTTATTTGCTACATTAAAGTTTGTTTTGGTTTCCTGTGCTTTTTCTACAGTTTTACATGGATAACCCGTACGATTCACACATTTTATATCGGTC